CAGTGTTGGTACTAAGGCTTTGCAGATCTTAACTGTAGACAAGCCTCAACAAAATAACCAGGCCTGGTCAAAACTGCTAACGCCATAAGTTTCACTAAAAACTAATTAGTTGGAAGGAAGAAAAGGAGGAAGGGCAGGCTCTGCTTTGAAGATTGTGTTGCAGAAAGGAACACCGTGGTAACCCTGAAGGGTATGTGGACTAAACAAACATAGCTCCTGGTCCTGAGTGGAAAATATCGCAAGAGGCTGGTGTTGGGGGGTTGAGATTGCCTCCTCAAGGCTGCAGTGCTGAGGCTGTTATGTTCTGGAACTCTGGGTTAAGTCCTCATCAATCTGCTACCAGTGCCCTCAAAAGAGGTGCCTGATCTCTGCTGTCCTTTCTGGATGTCTAATCTTTAGACACCTTCCGATGTTGCCTGACAAAGGAACTCTAGCCAGTCTAGAGACCAAGACTTTTGAAAGCATCTCAGGTCCCTTCCTCAGAAGGAGGTACCCCGCATCACTGGATGTGCTAGGAATAATCCTCTACTGCATGAGTGAGCAAGCTTCAAACGATGCCTTATGGGGCTGGAACCCTTCACAGGTCAAAGCTTCTGTGAGAAGCTGCATTTCACCTTCATGAGATGTAGAGCCCCTGTTTCTGTACTTGTTCTCTAGTTTGAATGAGAAACGGTCTATTGCATGACCTTGGAAAGGCTGTGGACCCCTGAATGAGGGTATGGATAGATATGTGGGTGTGCTGTATGGATAGATATGTGGGTGTGCTGTATGGCTTTGCTAATAAAATACTGTAAGCAAAAACTACAATGGTATCTGTAGTTCAGGCTGTCCAATGCCTCCTTTTAAACTCCCTTTCCTCACTTAGTCTTTTTTGGGTGGTGATTTTTCCCTTGTGGCTGCTGTTTTCCATTGTTTGTCTCTATCTTAGTTTTTTTTCCTGAAAAGCTGCAGTATAAAGGGTCTCATGCTTTTGACAAAGTTCAGGGGGAAATTGATGCTTTGTCTTAAATTTGAATGGAATAGCTGCTCAATTATCTAATGCTTCACTGTGCCTGGAAGTGTGGCTGGAAGACTGAATGGGAGCACAGGGTATGCTCTTTTTTGCCTTGGCAAAAAACAGCCAAACAACTCTATCAGGCTTTAGGCTTGTGAAAATTCTTGTTTCCCTCATCCTTGCTGGGGGAGAGAGAGTAGAGGCTGGCAGAAGCAGCCTTTACAAATCCTACTTCCTTGAAGAGGAAGGGAATGGGAAATTGGGGGTAATGATGAGAACAGATAGGTGAGTAGATGTGCAAGCAAGGATGAAGTATGTGGAAAAGGGGATGAATGAAGCCTGTATGGTAACATACAGGCAAGAGAACCAGGTCGAGGGACTGCTGCCTACAACTTGTAACAACCAGCATACAGGACTTCTCAACCTCAGCTTTTCTGTAGGGGCAGTTGAAAGCTGTGCAGCTTGGTGACAAGGTTGTCCCCTGTCTTGGCCCACAGAAAAGTGAACAGCTTCTGACTTGAATTGGCTGTGTCAGGAACTTGCATGGTTAAGGCACACACAGTGAAGACGTCTTAAACAAATACTAAGACTGATATGAGTGGAAATGCATGTGTGAAAGCACCAGAGAAAACAGCACACTGAGGTAAAGCAATGGTATGTAATTGCTGCGGAGTAGTGCATGTGTTGCTTCAGTCAAATGACCAGGGGACAAAAAACAAGTTGAAACCTTAGAGGTGAATTGATAAGATGATGATGAACAATACTGGAGCCATGAGATAATCAGATAAGGGTAACAGGACTCAAGAACCTTACCTGAAACTCTGAGGGGTTAAGGCAAGATGAGGTGGCACAAGATCCCAGTATCTTCTGCTCCAGTATATAAAAGACGCATCCAAAAATCAGCTTGTAGTTACCAGCCGGGAAGAACCCAAGAGATGCAGTGAGGGCATGAGGGTGTTATCCCGTGTGTGTCTTGTTGCACACAAGTGATCCTGGCCAGACCTTTTGGATGCACACAGCTTGGTGCCTGTGCATATGCTGCTGGGAGAGTGAGTGGTAGAATCAACTTATTGGAGATTAATTTAAAAAAAAAAAAACTTTCCCCAGCTGTGAGGTCTTGCATTGAGTTTTGTTAACACCGATTTCCTACAGTGGTGGAACTGAGTGTTCCAGTTCTAATGATTCATGTGGGAGGTGATATATTTCCCTGTGATGGCATTTATATATATTTCAATTTACTTTTAAAAAAAAAACTAGATAATTAGATGGCAAAGCTGCTATATTAAAGAATAGTAATGACCAAGTCAGGCACTTTTCTCCTGCAAGTTAAAGTTTGTTTAAGCTTCATGCTGCCCTCTCGTAGGAAAGCTACTTCAAGCAAAATGTTTGCTGTGTGTTCCTTGGTTCCTGGATGCCCAGCTCAAGATACCTGTTGTCTAGCTGGTAGGTGCATGTGCTGCTGGCAGTTACAGGTGACACAACTGAACTGAAGTATATAAATTACCACAAATTCTATAAGGAAAATCAGGCTGCTGGAATTGCAAAGCAGGCTTTCTGAATTAGAAGCTCTCGGCCACTTGGATGCTGCAGCTATAAAAATGAAGGCATTTCTCTCCACTCACAGGTTAGAAGAAAGTAGAAAGATCTGTACTCTGCCTGAGATCCAGGTGCCTTCTCCCCCTTTCTAACCCACCTGTACCCACTCCACACCTGTGCTAGGTGGCCGCCTAGGCTCTGTGATGTCTATAGACCCTCAGTGGGTATAGATTTTCTGCTGTGCTGCTGTCAGGGTGAGCAGCTTGTTTCCTGCATGCCTTTTGCTTTTTCTCAGAGTTGGGGGGAAAAACTGAAATGCTTGCAGAAGATTCAGATGGGATAGTGGTGGGGGCACAGAAAAGCCGGTCAGGAGGCTAATATGTCTTCCCCTAACTGATCTTAAAATCAGTAAAAGATATAAAGGTGGTGCTGGCCAAGCAAAATACTGAACAGTGCTGTTGGCTGAATGCCACCCTTTCAGTGATGCACAGGAGGAGAGGGGGTGGTCCTGCCAACCATGATAGCATCATGTGATTGAATGAAATGAAAGTTCACAAAATGAAGGCATCTAGCAGTGTTAACTGTTGGGTCCTCATCCTTCCTTGCTTAATTTTGCTCTCTTCATAATCTCTTTACAGCTGGCCTGCTTTGAGGGGTGGGTTGCAGAGGCAAGTTTTGGGTGTCTCATGCCCTGCCTGCCAGCTGGAGATCTGCAGCTGTGCTCCTGGAGTGACACAGTGGATACTGCTGCAGGCTCTTGGGCTGCCCTTGAAGTAGGCAAACTGGCCAACAGTTCAGCAGTAAGTGAGAACATCTGTGGAAAACATACTTTGTCTGCCTCTCCTGGAGTTTAGCTGAGCAGACAGAAGGGCATTGTTGCTAGGATTTCCTTCCCTTGCAGGAAGGGAGGGACGAGGGCTAGTTTCAAGTTACTTGAATGTTTACTTGAACTCTGGATTAAGCGCATTGTTGTAAATGGTTTGACGGTGATCAGATGATGAATTTTGGCATGGCAGCTGCCTTAAGACTGGCGAAATGCGTGGGTAGAGGGCTCTTAATACTGTTCTCACTCCCTCAAACCTGCTGAGATGCCCTGTTGCCAGTGGGTGGATCCGTTCTGGTTTACGACAATAAAAAGCAGATGAATTTCCTTCTTAAAATACCCAAAGTGGATTGCTAGCGCAGATCCTCTTCCCTGTGTACCTATCCTAGGGCACCCGCTCAAATCCCATCCATTCTAGCGGAACAGAGAGGCTAATCCCTGGCACTGAAGACACCCAGATTAACCCACTGCAGGATTAGGATGCTTGAGCTGTTGTTAAAAGATTAGTATGCTTGGTTCTCAACATTTGCTGAACTTGCCCTGAAAATGATTTCCAATGAGGTCACTGACTCCCAGCTGCCAGTTGGCCTGGTGCTTTAGGAAACTCTGGATTTAAAGCAAGGGCTTGTAAAGATTAGACTGGAAGAGGTCAGAGCGTGTTTCAGATTTAAACACTTGCCATCGGTGCTGATGGGAAGAGTGTTTGCCAGGCCACTGTTGCTGAGCCGCTACCTCCCTGGGGAGGTGCTGGGGGCAGCCAGGGCTCCTATCTCCTAGTTTGGCCTAGGCAGGGTGAGGAGGGTCCCTAGTGTGGCCTGGGGATCCCTCTGAGAGGCTCTACCTGAGACCAGGGATCATATCGACCATCTCTTCTATCTGCTTTAGGACTTTCTATGTGGAGCTGCTTTTCAGGTCAGCTTGTTCCTGCCCACGCTCTCCCTCCCAGGCTGAGACTGTTTCCCTTAAATAGGCTAGCTTGTGTGGAGCTGTTTGGCTTGGCTGGAAGTGACTATAACCAGTCCCCTGGCACTGGTTTTGTTCAGCCGTTATGCTGGTCTCCAAATCTGAGATAAACACCCCTGTGCTAGATGGCATTGGAGTTTTGCTGGACGAGGACAAAAGGCCTGTTAAATGGCTTTTCTGCCTTGCTTTATGGAGCTCGCTGCTAATGACAGCATGCACCGCTAAGCGCGAGCTGCCCACAGAGGGACTTGTCTCAGCTCCCACACAATGTGAGGTGAGCTTGTGGGAGCAGGGCCCTGCAGTGGCACCTGCGGTGAGAAAGCAACTGCCTTCTCCTTGCTGTGCTCCAGGATGGCGCTCGAACTCCCTGCGCTCAGTGTCTTATTTCAGCTACTGGCAGGAGCATTCATTTCTTTAAAAAGCTCTCCCTTGTCAACAGGGCGCTAATTCCAGCAGGAGGACTGCTCACACTAGCTCAGCACCTCATGGATGCTTACACCGCTTTTTAGAGCACAGGGGAGTGACAGCCAAGCTGCCGTGGCCCTGCAGTCCCTGGTGTCTGAGGCGTGCTGACACTGCTGGGATGCACCCTGGTGCTGCAGGGAGCCTCTGGCCACTGACAGGCATGGCAGAGCCCCTTTCTTCCTGAAAAGCAACTTTTTTCCTGTTTTTTTTTTCCTACAGGAAATTGCAGGTAAAGGGTTAATCCTGTTCCATGATGGACCTTTCTTTGAAGATTTCGGTAAGGTAAGAGGAGAATATGTGAGGGTTTTCTGGCAGTTTTCCCACTAAAAGCGGGATAGTAAAAACTTTTAGCTGGAGACTGTTTTCCACTAGCATAACCCAGGTGAATGGAGACTTACACTTGCTTCGAAGTAGTTTATCTTGTAAGTACTGAACCTGGAAGTGGTTTCCTTCTGCATTGCTGATATCTCAGTTTCAAGATGCAACCTTTTGCAAATGTGTGGATTGTATCACACATCATTGTTTCCCACGAACAAGAACACTAACAGCAGTTTCAGGTGAGGTATATAACTGCCTTCATCACTCTCACCTGACAGTATATTCCTCCTGAACAGGCCAGTGGGGATTATCAGTTGAAACCCATGTGGGAAACACCTCTTCACTGGTAGACCTGCTAGGATAATCAGAAAAGTAGGATCTTTCTGTAAATGTCTGCTTGGAGCTGGACACTGCAGAGCTGATATCTTGGAGCTTGGCTGTGCTGAGCATTCCCCCTTCTGGCTATGCTGGGCCATCTAGAAGCAAAAATTGTTTGTTTTAATGCATGCATTTATAAGCAGCAAGTTCTTTCCCCTGCAGTTTAGAAACATACTTGGAAAGTTACATAAGCTGCATGATAGCCTTAAATTTTAAGGCCTGTGTTACAGTTTCTTCTAAAGAAACTGCAATATCTTGAAACATAGGATGTGGACCTAAAGCTGCTGCTTTGCTTGCTGTGGCATGAGGACAAGGCTACTGCTGTAACAGCACCACTTCCAGTTTTCTCACTGAAACAAGATAGGTGCGTTATAATAATCAGCAAGAGCGTGGGATGGCAAAGTGCATTGGTTCTCCCAGTTGGCTGATGTTTCCAGCATGCAGAACTTACCCTGGGTTTATGTCAGCATGGACCTGGCTGATCACTGGTCTAATCAGCAGGTACGTGTGAAATAAAGTTGACTGTAGGAAGTAAAGAATTCTGGAGTGCCCATTCATTGGATGGAAATGTAATATATGATGTTATACTGCAGTGGCTTGGGCTATCTGAGTTGGAAAAAAAAAGTGGGCTCCTAAAGACTGGTCCAGCTGGGGAAAGGGTGCCTTGTAAACAGTATATGAGGAACAGAGCCCTATACAATGTAAGTGATGGTCCTGCTTGTATTTTAGCCCATACTTGCTGTTACAAGACTTAAACTTGCAACTCGGGTGAAGGCAGTTTCCAGGACGTGTGGAGAGTCACTGGGTATGCATCTAGAGGGGTTTACACAAAGGAAGAAAGGATGGAGAGAGAAGGATATTAATGTAACCTTGCTGCAAGCTCAGGCCTTGGTTCTCTGTGTCTGGAATAAATATATTGTCTGATCAATATGAAACAAAAATCATGCTTAAACTGCTTTCCATACTGGAAAGTTATCAAAGGCTGGACCTCAGGCCTGCACTGGAACTGGGCAACAGCAGAGTTGGCCGGATGCACAGCCCTTCCCCACAGCTGGTGCAAAGCAGATCCCTGTGCATGCAGGTTCCCCCTTCCCACAGCCCACCCTCCTAAGGAAGCCCTGGGAGGGGTCATTCCTAGTCCTGTGCTGTTGCTTTTAATGGCTGAGGTTGTGTTTCAGTCCTAGGCTTTCACTTGTTTGCTGGTCTTATTTGGCACTGGAGAGTTCCCAGTGCCCATTTGCTTTGCACTGTAGTTTTTCAGCTTAAAAGGACCCTGGCTTGAATTGCACAGAAGACATGTGACTTGAAGGCTGAAGCACACTGGGACTTGGCTGTGATAGCTTACGTTTGAGGGGAAACAAAACAGAAATATCACTCCCACGAGTGGATGAGGCATGACTGCAGCCCTTCAAGGGCAGAGATGCCTGCAGAAGCCCATCAGCTAGTGGGGCTTGTTCTTCTGCGTGATTTTCTTGTGGGCAGGGGAACTTCTTTGTTTGTGAACCAGGCTGTTTGAAACCTATCTCTAAAAATTTTGGAAAAGTCCATTTAGGGCTTCAGTTTTTTGGGGTTACTGTCAGAACTAGAAAGAAAGGAAAGGTGTGAAATCAAAAAGGCTGTCTGCAGCATTTCTTGAGCCCATGAGATCTGGGAGTTACTTCACAAAAAAGGCTGCCTTTAGAGGCCCATTCTTAGGGATTTTCTCACCCAAGTACATATAGAAAAGTGCTGCAAGGAGTAGCTGCCAGTTGTAACAATATTAGGCTCCTATAGGCACATGCTCATGCAAGGGAAGTTATTCACGTCATGCATGTCTGGTGCCATAAGGCTTGCCGAAGAGCTCGGTTTTCAGCTCCCTCCAGGGCTGGAAGACCTGAGGCTGCTCAGCCACTCGCTACATCCAGACTGTGCTATGAGTTGCATGTCCAGGCTCCCCTAAACCCCAAATCTGGGCTGTTTTGCAGCCACCACTCTCCCGTGCAGGAGTGTTGCCTTCGCTGCAGTAGTGCAGTGTATGTTTGTAGCTGGAGCGCTCGATTCCCTTCTTGTGGCACAATATGTGACAGGGTGAAGCGCTCAAAGCAGGCACTTACCAGCTTTTGTCAGTCAGCAGGTCAGGAGCGTGCAGTGCTCTGGCTGTTATAAAATACCTTCATTAAGTAATTGTTTCTCTTGCGTAAGTGTTTGGTTTCAGGAAGTTTTAGCCAATCAGTGGCTGCAGCCCACAGACAAAACATGTGTCTGACTACTGTGATTTTTTTTTTTAAATAATGCATGATTGTTTATCTGCTGAAAGTTGTATAAAATCTTTTTAAGTTTGAGCGGTGGAGACTCCAGCTCTGGTAGCTGAACTACAGCTGTAAGACGCTGCCAAAAATCCCCGTGCTGGGAGGATCACTGTGAGTAATATTTCTAATTCTTCTCAAGGGTGTTTGTGGCTGATAACTGCAGGCAGGGAGATATTGTTGGCAATAGATGTCTGCAACAAATTAGACAGCAGCTGAGAGGACAGGTAGTGGAAAATATTGACTGGTTTTAAAATAATGCTTCCCTCTAGACTTCTGCAAGCAAGTATGTGTTTCTCTGAGGCTGTGTAACCAAGTCTCTTCCAAGTAAGTTAATGGAAGTTGGTGTCGAATTCAATTACAGAACTGTCTGAAGAACATAGATTTGGCCAGACGGTGAGATCAAAGGACCATCTAGCCCCATATATTTGTTTGGAGTGGCCAACAGCAGATGTTAAAAGGAAAAAAATGTAAGAAGAGGACAAGCATATAATAAGCTGCTCTTTCCTGGCTTTCAGAAGTCTGTGGCTCAGTGATTTCCTGAGCCAGAAACAGTACCTTTAAGAGTACTAGTGGATCTTTCTTTTAAAAACTTGCTAATTCAGCATATCTCTGCTGAGGACAAACTATTTGGGGATTTTGCCAGATCCTAATTGGATTAGTCAGTATCTTGAGTGAAATGAGCTCTTCCTCATAGGATTTTTCACGAAAATAAATGCGTATTTTTCCGTTTAGATGGAACGGAAAAGGCAAAGCTTGCATGAATTTAACAGAAAACAGTTTTCCCTCCCACTTCCTTCTGATGTGTCTGGATACTGCTAAATCCATGAACAAAGCCTGGATCTATAAAACTATCCACTGAAGTAGGAACTGGAATTTATTAGTTAAACCCTGAGCAGCCTGGAACAATTCAGTCATTATTCCTGCCCACCCTAGAAGGCATTGAAGTGCAACTCCTCAAAGAAGAGCCCAAGTGCTGCAGGGAGGGGGAATGAAGTCTTTACCCGCAGTGTGAATGCCTGTACATCTGCTCTTGTAGGTGGCACAGAACTCTTCCCTGATACAACAAATACTTAACTAGTAGAGATGGAGATCACCTGGGAGGACTCCAGCTGCTACTTACAAACCTTGAAAATAGTATATGGACTTTATAAAGTTCCTGAGACCTGCTAGAGCACTTAAGTCTTATTTACAGCCGGTAGATGAGGAAGCAATACTGCTGTGGAAAGAAGTGTTTATTTTGTAGGAATTACAGAGTTAGAGGTGGTAAATGTGAAAACCGTATTGAACTAAAGGCACTCAACTGCAAAGCCAGGTCAAACACTTTCATGTTTCTCCCCTAAAGTGGGCAAGATGATAGGCTGGTTTGGTATAAATGCAGCAGTGATGTAAGAAGCTTGAATCCCTCTCTTTACACTTGCTTGCTAACTATTTAGAGCATAAAATTTGCAATACCTCCACAGGCAAATCTGAGCTGTAAAGCCTCTTGCACTATGCAGCTAAATGATGGGTGGTGTCTGAGCAGGTGCTCCGTGGTCTGTCACTTGGGTTCTACAACCTGTCGAGCCCTCCTTGCTCCTGTGGCTCAGGGTTGTTCAGAAACCAGGACAGCCTACCCCACTCTCTGTTGGTGGGGACCAAACACTACAAAAGTCAGCATTTAAAACCGGGGAATTTTACACCAACTCTCCTTGTTCTAAAACTCTCAGGCCTGGTAGAGTCCAGGCCTAAGTTAGATAGCCAGACTTTCTAATTTATTCTAGAATAAAATGGACACTACACACAAGCTGAAGATTTTTGTGATGTTCCTGTCTCTGGCTACTTTCACAGTCATGGTGATACTGAATGCTGGCAACGCCACTGGACTATTCAAAGGTAATGAAAGCAGATCATCCTTGCTCTGAGACGTGGCTCTCAGGCACTGTATTCCTTGATGATTTAGCAGTGCCTTAGATGGGATAGATCTGTCATCCCATCACTTCTCCAAATACATCTTCATCAGAGCAAGAAGAAAATGGCTAGTGCCTCCCTCCTGGTGTTACAAGGGCATATCTAAGCCCTCTCCAGGGCCCCTTGAAAACCAAGTGAATGTCTCTGGTGACCCTCAGTCCAGCTGTGGGTGGAAGAGAATCTGTGCATCTGCTGCCCTTATATGCTGGGTGGCAGCTGGTCAGGTCCTGCTCTGTGGGTATATAGAGTGCAATGCTGCTCAGTTTGAATGCTTTCCAGCTGAGTGTGTCAGAAACAAGTGTTATGCTGCTGTCAGGCTTTTGCATGTGACTTGCTTTTCTGGTTTTGTGACATAGGGACTTGCTCAAGGTTCCCCATGAAGGGTAGTTATTCCATAATTTTTTTAAGGCAAGGCCATTGCAGCACAGGGATTGTTTCAACAAGGGCATCCTTTCCACTCCCTCAGATCTGAGGTGTGGGCTAAACCTTGGGGCAAGATTGCAGGGCAAGAAAATCAGCAGTCTTTCCCTTTGAGTAACATGTTCACTTGTAATAACTTTCACCACTGCAGGTCTATTCCAGAGCACCCCAGGAAACATCTCGGGGAAGTACAATACTGACTTCACACCAGCTGGCAAAACTTTCCTCATCTGGAATGTCATCTATGCTTGGCAGCTTGCGTGGCTGCTCTACGCGTTGTCAGGGATCTGTCGAAGGTATTTCCCCTGTGTACAGTGTAAGTGAGGGGAGGGGGGCTCTTCCCTTCCATAGCCCAGTCTGTTATCCCCTTTTCTGGGACTTCTAGTCAGAATAAATTCCTGCAATTTCTCTTGACCTGAAGTGACCTAAAGTTTAGCAACAGGAATGTGCTTGAGGCTCAGCATCCAAAGCTGTGACTGGGATCAGTTTGGTGGCAATATATGAACGGCTTTAACTTGTGGACAAGTTACAAAGCAGGTGAATAGTTTTGTGAAGCCTGACTTCCACTGATTTATGTGTTCTGACAGTTATCCAGTAGTTGCTTACTCACTGCTAGATCCTGAGACTCTACAAGGGCAAAACTCATGGATCCTGAACCTAATGCTTTCTGAGTCTATGCCCCATTGGATATCGGAATCTGCACTGGGAAGTCTCCTGTGTCATTGAACTGGACTTGAAGCCTTTCTTGGGGCTATGAGATTAGTGACGTTACTGCCTCAGGTAGTATCATGCAATATCAGTGATGCCCTCTATCTTCTGAGGGGTAAACTTATGTTGCAGCTTTTCGGTTGAGGGTGAGCAGAGACTGCTTAATCGAAGTCTCTTGTATCGGTAGTTTTCACGTGCCCTGTAATAAATCTATCTTAGTGATCTCTGAGACGGTTGAAACCAGCAAACGCTGGAGGCAGGATGAAGTGTGTGTCTATACATTACAAGGTTATACACACGGACTTTGTTAATTGTACATGTATGTATGAACATACACATCCATGCTATGATCCCATAAGCCTTTTTTCCCCAGGAACTGGGCTAAAATAACATGACTGTTGCGACTGCTGGTACCACCACCAAGAGCACAAGTTCTGTAGCCCTCATTGAGAGGCCAAGAACGTGCAGCAATCCTCAGCACCCCCTGGGCCTATGACACCACAGTGGTGGTGTGGGGACCAGTGAGCAGTCCTGTACCTCAGCAGATCACTCTGGGCAGAGCCACAAGGACTGTGTTTTCCTCTGAAAAGGACATAAAGGAGAAAGAGTCTGATTTAAACTGAAACACTTAACTCCAACATCAATTCCCTGGCCAGGAATGAGAAAATGAGGCCAGGAATATTTGTTCTGTGCAGGCATTGCTTATTTTCTTTCTCCATGTCCACTTTTCACTGGCAGGAATGAACTTGGATGTGTTTACCTTGAGCCAGACTTGCTGCCAATACCTTTTTACGTGACGTGGATACTAAATAATGGCCTGAATGTTGGATGGCTCTTTCTGTGGGACCGTGAGTAAGTCATCTCTGCTGCAGAAGCTTTCTAACCCTCTTGCTGGAACTGCCCTGACACTTTGTTACACCATCCCCCCTACCTGTATCAACACACTTAATCACATCAGTGTAAAACTAAGGCAAGTTCCGACAAAAGCTGCCTTTTATAAAATTTGGGGGATTTTGTGCAATGATCCATCTCACAGGTAAGAGGGAAATGGTTATTGGATCCAAGATCTCTTCAACACTGCTGCTCTTCAGCACTTTCTTCTACAGGTAAGTCAGGAGCCATGTCACAAAATACACTTAGGCTCCTTGCCTTTGGATTGTTTTCATAATCATGCTCTCATGAAGGGCATATAATAGCACTACTGTCAAGAGGTGTAGAAATCAATTGTAGTTGGGAAATTAGTGTCATGATTAACAGTAAAATAGCAGTATGTCAAAATAAAGGCTACATGTAGTGATTAGCTTTATTAAAGGCTGATTAACTTTAAGTCAGTGAAGGCCAGACACTGAAGCTATGAATTAAGGCGTTATTACACCACTGAGCAAACGCACTGGATATTGTGTATGTGTATTTGTCCTAGGTATCTCCTCCCAGCCCTGGTGTTCCTGGCTGCCCTCACTTTTGCCACGTGTGCTGCTGTCTTCATTTCACACAGAGCCTTGAATATCCATGTCATGTGGTTTGCAAAGGCCCACAAAGCTGAACTCTGGCTCATCCGAATTCTAGTAGGTGCTGTTTGAGAAGCTATGCTGTTGATAAAAGCTTAAAAACAGAAATACCTTGTGCAATGCTGAAGGATGAAAGATTCAGTGGCAGGATATAGATGGGGAAGACTCCAGCCCTGACTCTAACTTGTGCCTGTTGCAGGCACATGGAGGCTTACTTGCACCTCAGTCTTCTATCAGATGTCATGGGGATGAATCAGAATAAGGCCAGATCCCTCATCCTTCTCCAGCTGCTACAGAATACACACACTTATAGATTGTTTTTAACATATAAACATATATAGGGGAAGGTGCAAAAAGCATACATTGTCCAGGGTGTCAAATGCAGCCTTCTTCCTGACTTCTACCAAATTCTCAGGGATAGGAAAAATCATTTTCCTCCAGAAGAGCAGCTGTTCATGTTCAGCAAACGGCACAGAGGAAATAGTGGAATACATCTATCTTGTTCCTTGAATCTTCTCTGTGCTCTAGCTCAAACCTGCTACCTGATCCTCCTTCTCCCCACCCAGAAGACCTTGTGCTGCAGTTCCTTCCTTGGCTGCTGTGTGCATTTTGACCCCCTTTCATTCCTTTGCTGCTGGTGTTGCTCAGTGAGAAAATGAGTTAGCTGAAAAAGTGCACCCAAGGAGTTAGAAGGGTCCTCAGTGGAGGAGGTGTCTGCAAAGCTCTCCAAAGGAGTCTCTCTGGATGAAAATTCCAGCCTGGAGGCTGGAAATGCTTCTAAATCTCAGCCCCAACCGGGCAAGGGTGGTGTTCTTTGTCCTTGTATTTCAGTTTCAGAGGCCCAAGTATAACACAGACAGGAAACTGGGTGTAGCTGTGTTTGTCGTAATCATTCAGGAGTGATGCCAGCTTTTGATGCTGCTTGCAGTAGGCTCCATGTGATGAAGCTGTCCCCTGGGAGGTAGGGGAGATTCAAAAGCTCTTCTCCCTGCTATTAAGGTGGCTTAAGTCTTCCCTCATAGCAACTGCTGAGGTACTTTCCCTGCAGCTAGGTCAAAGTCTGGTTTAACTACCCCAGGAAGTATAGATACCGTCTGCCTTTTTCAAGGAAAACTGGGATTACTTTATCACCCTTACTTTCTCCGTACTGCACGGCAGGTCCAGAATGGCCTGGTGCTGTATGCAACGTGGACTACCATCGCCACTCTGCTGAATTTTGCTGTCGTGTTGATCTACAAGTGGAATGTGTCTAACGAGAAAGCAACCACTGCCTCTCTGTCCATCCTTGCTCTGAGTCTAGTAATATGGTAAGTGTTCTCATGGGTTCCCTCTAGGCCTTAAAGAAAAGCCCTTCTACTGCTTGCATCTCACAAGCAGACTGGACTGTCTGATTCATAAATGGGCTCTGTCCCAGTATCAGCACTGCATCCAACAGCCCCTGTTGTAATACATAGAGCCTGTGCAAAACACTGCTACTTTGGCCCTCAGCAATGCCAGTAAGCATACGCTGTGGAGGAAGAGCAGATTGCCATGGCTTTTGTGAACCCAACCTGTTCTGGGCTTGCAGGTGAGGATTTGTGCAAAAGTAACTCAAATCCCTTCAGTGTCCCCCTCCCTTAGCTACACCTGATGAGCAGCAGTTCAGCTGGAGTCTCCAATAAACTGCTGAATCTATTCTGAAAAAAGAAAGTTAACCTGAATGTGTTCTCTTTAGCAAACTGCTTGCTTTCCACTAAAAGTTCATTTTTCCTCAAAGAATGGAAAAAATTTCACTCAAAAAGCAATTTTGATTCCTTCATGTTGCCAAACTATCCCATAGGGTATTACATCAGGCAACAAATGCCCATTCTCCATGGCCAAGCCCCTTTGTAGGAGAAGCAGGAAGGTTTTTGGTTTTGAATTAACCACTGTCCTCTCTTCCCCATTAGCCTGGCCACCCCCCGTCCTCCCCCCCCCCC